GATGTGTTCGCCCTCTGCCGCACGGTTGACGACAAAATTCCGGAATCCTAAAAGGTTGCGCACATCCTCAAAGGAATCGCGGATGATGCCTTCACTCTCCTTGTGTTCCGCAACTCTTAGACAGTGGACGACGTCAGTAACGAATGCCGACGCTTTGAATAGGCGAAAAGTCGTCGTATTACTTCCCACTTTTCGTGTATTCTCGACACGGCTGCCACGTCTACCTGCGAAGACGCCCGTCTCCCTTCTGCCGCTGCTACTTCCGACAATATTGTGCGCATTGTCCGCCGTGAAATCGAGGCCATCTCCTATTGTTCATCATACCCGTGCCACTGACGATCCTTTAAAAATTTCTTTAATACAGACCGTTGTCCGCCAGGAACTGACCAACGCCGGACTACAGACGCTCTGTCCTGTTAGCAGACCTGTCCAATTACCTAGTGTACCTGATATGCGCCGTGGTCCGTACAACTGTCCACGTTACCGGAACTCGGCTGAATGGCGAACCTCCGATGATAGACCTATCTGCTTCTGCTGCGGACGAGTCGACCACATTTCATGTCATTGCCGTAGTTCCTGGAATCGGCATTCATGGTCGCACTACGCCAATACCCGGCACCTCCACCAAAATGTTACGGGGAAGAGGCGTCGGAGAAATATGCTTACTATCGATTTAACAAGCAGGCATAAAAGATGGAACCCAGTCTGCACGAGAGCTCCGACATCGTTTTCTTCCTTATCGAGTTTCGAGTTATCCGTGGAGCCCCGTAGCAATATGCACTAGACCAGCGTGGCCAGTATACCGTGACATCTGACAATGTTTCCTACGTGCGCCATTTAATTCTCGCGATGTTTCCAGTCTATGTGTTTCGGTGTGTTTTAAAATAATAGGGATGAAGAATGGGCTTGTCGTGCAGCCTGCTATTTTGCAAAACCATAATTTCCCCACTGCTATTTAGTCGTTATACAAGGAATGAATCACTGGGACCTGCTAATTTGTTCTATTTGTCATGTGTACACAAAAAATTCACATTGCAGGTGCATGTTCGTCAATAAAAAGTAATATATTTTAAATTTAGGAATAAATTGTTAATGAAAACATAAAAAATTTGTACCTACATGCTGTTTTTGTCTTTTATGCCGAGTCCATTTATGTAAATTGTGTCTTTTTTTAGGTTTGATTTGTTTTTTGTTTAACGACAGCCGAAGCACAGGAAGAAAACTGGCTGGAGCAGAGTTTCACTTTGTTGGGGTATCTATACCACACATCGTGCTACAAACTTATTGCCCTTCTCACTGGAGGCTAGACTTATACGGCTGCTTTAACAGCCACATACTCTCAAGTGACCAATTTAGAATTATGTTGATTCACTGGTGCTTCTGGTACAAACGTAACGTTATGCGATGCTTGGAAACGTTCCTCTTTGCTCCAACGGAGCAGAGTTTTCACTTGTCTTGAACTATTGTCCGCTCAGGTTACCCGGTTCTACCGCACTAGACTGCCACTCTGCGGGCTGAAGTTATGTGTGTGCATATGTGTTTCCTCTCTATTTCACTTTCTTGACTGTTCTTTCAATCTTCCCCATCTCCTCCCGCTATGTAGGGTAACATACCGGTTATGCCCACTGGTTAACATCCCTGCCTTTCCTCTCTCTCGTTTTCCTTCCGGTTTTGAATGTAGGTGAAAACATTGGTCGTGTTGCCTTTCTTCTCTCTCTCTCTTCTGTGAATATAACGAACGGTATTCTTGAAGACGTTGAGAATTTATATACCTTTATGCAATGGTAGCTCACGTTTGAATGTGACCCCGCAGTCGAGTGATGTTCGTTTTGACTAATAAGTTAGTTAAATATATAAACGGTGCTATTAACAACTATTAGCAGGTGGTCATGGGTGAAAAAAAAAAGAACATGTCTTTAGAGCTTTCTAGGTGCCCCTTGGAACTCTCAAGCATGGCGTGAAGGCGGCCTTTCTTTCGAACACGTGGCTTTCCACACAGCCGCATTAGCCCTAAGTGGCCTGCTTGTCGCTTTCCGCATGACGAGACGCGGTGCTTACGTGTGCGGCTCAGGAGCACGGACGGCGAAACAAAGAGCAAATGCCTTCTGAATTATGGGTCTCGTTCACGCGCATTTCTATACTAGACGGAGCCTTCGTTTAAAGCACACGCGCAAAACGCGCCGAGTGTCCCGGAAATCCGAGGACTCGCTCTGAAAAGCAAGAGTTGTGGTCTCCCTTCGGACGCCTTCTACGAGACCGCACAAATGCGGCGATAAAAGTCGCGAACGCCGGCGTCTGAACGGCTTTTGTTCTCTGGCAACGGTTGACAGAGCGCCGCCTTCAGACGACCGCCTCAGTCCAGGTCTTCGCGTCACAGAGTTGTTATACAAACACGGCCGCGCTGCGCTCACTCCCCCCCCTCTCTCCTGAGTTCTCTTAACCAGGAAGTGAGTGGCGCCTTCCGTTGTCGATCGCCTAAGATTCACCTTCGGTAGCGGCTTGTTCGAACGCCAATGTGTTCACAGACCACGCTCATCTTGACTTACAGTTTTAGTTCAGCCTTAATTTGTAGGCGTCGTTCCATCGAAGGCTGAGCAAACGTGCCCGCGCATCTGTGCATTGACTGATGACAATGTAAACTGCTCTCGTGTTAATGTTTACAAAGCATTACGCGAGATCGTTTGGCGGATGTCTTGACTTTTTTACTGTGCTGAAATTTGTTAATTCTGCCTAAGCAGATTTTAAACGACACTAATGTGTCCGTGCAACATCCTCTGTGGTATATTTGTAACGAAAGGAAGATTGTGTCAAAAATGTGGAAAGGTCGGTTAACCAATTGAAGATGTCACTGATTAAAACCAGTTTTGCTAGTGGCGGCGTCTCCGAAATATTGTGGCTGAGTTTAACTGCTGAAAGTGATCAATAAACTGTAATGTGTAAAAGAGCTTATAAATGTAAAAAGTATGTATAACCTCTGCCATGCGTTTTCGAGCGTAACAATCATATGTCCGTACAACTATAGCGAGACTTGGAGGATCATACCAGGCGACCCATGCGATGATTACACACTGATGTCCACAGCAGTAAGGCACTTCCTTTAAAACCCGACTTCCTTACTTGTGCAGGCGCCAACTTTGAAGATAAACCTAACCCCAGAAAAAATACCATTGAAGAGTTAACATTAATGAATACCTTAAGAGATTATTTTAATGTTCTTTATTAAAGTAATTAAAGAAACGCCGATGCAAGTTTATCGTATTCAGCTGGAGAAGCTGCAGGTGATTTATCTGCCACAAGACAATTGTTTGCATGGTAATGCAAAGAAATTTATTTATTTGTATAAGGAAACACTGTAGTGAACTTTGTAGTTTTCATTGTACCACATTAAAATATGCTTCAATTGGAAAAAATGGTCATAAGCTATAGAAAGCAAGGAAAGTGTCATGATAACCTTTCTGTATGCATTTAAAAATTGGCATTAAGTTTGAAACAACTGGAGCTCAAATTATAATCAACCTGGAGCAAATTTATTCAAGTTGAATCAAACCAGAGTACACTTCTTCGTTCAGATTATTTGATTACGGACAATTCACCGAAAAACATAAGTCACTCTCGTTGGATTTCGACGGATTTCCGCACACATATAACCGCCACAGGGTTACATATCGCGCTTTTTGGTACCACATGTATTAAATAAATGACAAACAGGTACCACAGGTGACCCATTTTAGTCCTACTTGTTTCATCCCTATGGTTCTGATGCTTTGTATCCGCCGAGTATAGATATTTCTGGGATATTTCTTGCATTCGTGAATGGAATAGCTTATCTTATAGTATTGTTATATTACACTCGGCTAATAGAATGTTTATTGCGTTATGACTGAATTTTCAATTTTCACTGACTGTTCCTTTTTTATGCCTTTTCGCTGAACCATATACACATGACAAGTCAGCTTGAGATCATGTTTTCTGCTTGTTCAGCGTATTTGTTTGAACAATCATAAATTATACTATTTTTTTTGCACCATCGTATTGCTGCGCGTCGAATGTGACAGTCAGAGGACGCTTTCAAGTGAACGTTCGAGATTTTGTTTGTCTGCAGCCCACGACATCGTTTTCTCTATATGATCATAACGAAGGTAAACGGGACGTAGATTAGATTGAATTCAGCTACTTCTTTAGTCTTAATAATGCTCCTAATCTAAGCAAGCTTTATGATGAGGAATCCCCGAAGCCCAAAGTTGGGTTTCTTTTTTGTCAACTACCACGAGAAAAGGTCTCTGGCTTCCTGCTTACTTCGGTATCTTGAGGCTCTTCTGATGAGTTGCAGTTCACATCCACTTGTTTCTTGATGGTAATAGCTGTTCAGTGGATAATTGATTTGCCACATTTCTGCTCTAATTTTTTAAAGACAGTTTGTCTTACTTATAAATGTTATCATGCAAGTGTACAAGGCAATTTCGTGCCATGTATATATACACCTTTTCAAAAAAACTAAGTAGACATTCATTCACAATCACTCCTAAGCATTTCAATGCTTTCATAATGGACTTCCACGTCTCTTTGTTTAACGTAAAGGGTCCCTAATGAAAAGTATTCAAGAGTGACTGATGCTCAGCTGGCGTTTTGCCACAAATGATTTGGTGCTCGCATACGTACCCCACGCTTATTGGAGTTGTCAGAATTCTGTCTCATAATGTTAAGGAGCTCAGCCAATGACTAATGAACAATCTGCTAAGCTGCCTCATGAAGGTCACCCACTACGCGACACTTGCGAGCTCAAACTACGATAATTAACTAGAAGTTTGACAAGCCTCGAGAAACACTGACCTGCCCCAAGTTTTTCTGGGCCGTGTCTGGCTATCCGGAGGTCAGTAAACGTGTCTGATTATATCCGGTCAAGGCGAACACTCAGATCACCGTTCCGTTGAACTTGTTGAGACGTTGCCTAAAGGGCAAGGCATCTGCCGAGCCACGTCAAGAGTGATGAGACGCACGTACACGTGTGAGCATATGGTACATGTATTTACACATTTCACACATCAAGCACAAGGAGGGAACAATACAAATACTCGATATCACAAGGAACACAAAGTGGGTAACAGCAGCGAACAGGAGAAGGCGTTTCTAAGGTCCGTTTACATTACGACATGGGCGAGCACTGGCAGTCTTCTCCACCTTGCAGATTACACGTCATTGCTTTGTCGAAGAGCAACTTGAGAAGAGAAAAGGGGAGGAGGATGTAAACACGGAAGTAAGTCTGAAAAAAAAAGAAATTAGGGATTCATTTCAGTCTGGACGAGTTGATTTGCAGTACTGCTAGACAGCACATATTCTTGCACAGTGACCCTGCGTTCAAAATGAAGGCTGACAGAAGAGACACCGTTTTAGAATTTTTTTCTAAAGTTAATGTTCTACTGAAGTTGAATACTTAACGAGACTGTGCCTTTTCATGCCACAGTTTATAAACAGCAGTTTTCTTGTGGATTGTTCAAGACGCACGTTTTTATACGAGACAATTTTTTCCGCTAATATTCGTGCCCGCTTTCTGAAATGCAGATACCACTTATTTCGAACCAGTAACTACTGCTGGTTATTGGTATTATAATTTATTGTGAAGGTTGTATGTCCTACAATGCAGCAAAACTATGTTCATTGATGTTCACTGGTTTATGCACTGTAATATTTGTGTTAGAATTCAAATATTGCACTGTATGTTTCATGGGCTTGTTGTGCAGTGTTAAGCTTCCAAGTGAATTGTTCTATGGTTACGAGGGTTTTCACATAGCTTCGCCTAAAGTAAACACATTGAAACAAACTAACACAAAAACAAGCAAACTTCGTGTGCATAATGTATGAAATACCTGAATTTCGAAGAAATGCCACATTTCTAAATTTGCTGCAAGAAATCAACAACACGCTATGTAAAACATGTGTGGTACAAATAGTATCGGCAGTTGTGTTATGTTGGGATGCGTGAAATCTAGTCCCGCAAATGTTGGGGCAAGTAAACTCAATGAGAAGAGGCTCCGTATTGAGATTGCAGCATTTTCAAGATGAGCGGAATACATCTGAGGATGCTAAAGTTGTTGCACGATACGATGAAGCACACTCAAGCCTTCACCTGAAACATTTTGTTTCATCGAGACCACTGTTTGCTTGTGCATATTTTGTGAAACTTTGTCGAGTAAGTTCAAGGTTTCGGTACGTAGACGTTATATTGTATTGACACAATATCGCGCAGCTTTCAAGTAAAAGTAGTATAGAGTGTTTCAGTACCAATCAATAATGTCGGTTTGACACCACGAAAGGAAAAAGTTGCGCACGGAGACATAAGAACACACACAAAAGTACACAAGAATGATAACAGAAAGATTTCAGTGCCACTATTCCCTTAAAAAATTCTCTCTGTGATCATGTGCATTTAAATTCATATCCCTGTATAAGTTCATCTTGTCCGGCTCAGGGTAGTGTACCAGACCACTCGGTAGTTCCCGTTAACTTCACCTTTTTTTCGATTGCCATCCTATACACTGTGCTATGATACCCCCCCTCCCCCCCCCAAAAAAAAAAAACTCATAGTAACTAGCTCAAGAAATTCACGTTGCACCTATATGCAATATACTTACGACATGGAAAGCGGACGGGACAGCTCACTGCAACTTGGAGACATTGAAATATTGAAGCGACGATAATGATCTATCCGTAGAAGCCGTAGCCACCATAGCCTCCGTAACCACCATATCCGCCGTGTCCGTAGCCTCCGTATCCATGGCCATATCCACCGTATCCTCCGTAACCGCCGTGTCCATAGGCGGGCACCGTCTTGCCGTGCGCCGAGTGGTAAGGGGCGGCCGCGGGCAAGCTGCTCTTGGTGCCGGGCTCGTTGGTCTTGACGACGGCGCGGAAGCCGAGCTTGTCGGCCACGTAGTGCACCTGCCGGTGGCGGCCGTCAATGTCGCCCAGGTAGTAGGAACCATGCACGGGGCCGTACGCGGAGCCAGTCTCGTGGCGACCGTTGACTGCACCGTAACCATTGGCGATGTCGTAGCCGAAGCTGTAGTGGCCGTGATCCTGAGAACAAACATGACTTGGTTCGCCTGTGTGCTTTCAACAAATATACGCTATAGCACTGCTATTATGTTTCTGCGCCGTAGGTAGAAAGAATAATGCTGTCCTAACTGGTATATTTATTTATTTATTTATTTATTTATTTATTTGGTTTGCATGCATGGATACACAAGAACTCAGCAGAAAGAGGGAGAGAGCAAGCAGGCAACTGCTCCTGGAGGGGCACTAACTAGTACTCAGAATGAAAAAATAGAGCGTTCTTTCGCGTTCTACAATGTAAGCAAAAAATAGGGAAATAATATATAAATTTAGTCTAACCATAGACTCATTGCTACGATAACAGTGCGATCATCCGGTTATATGAACCGTTATTTTGAAAGTGTGTTTGACATTAAAAGCACATGTCACAGCGAAAGTCGTGGACCACAAAGACGAATGACATCGTTTTGTGTAGACTATGCGTGTAAAAAAAAGTGAACAAACATTTTGCTTCCTGTAGGTCCTACTGGTACCACCATGATGGCCGTGTCCAACGTAGCCAGCAAAAGCTACGGCCGCTAGAGCCAGCACCAGTGTCGACTGTAAAAGAAAATATATAAAAAAACCAAAAGCAAGTCACAAGACATTATAGTGCTGCTGCTGAGGACTGTTCTGACATGATACTAATAAGTCCTTAAGCATGCCGAGTGCGAAGCTATGGTCGTCCAATGAATGGCTTTTGAATAGTTGTGAGATCCACGCAGGAAGCCGCCACTATGAGGTAACGTTATAAAACACGAATAACAATTATATTTCACTCTTTTCAGCGTTGCATATCCGTGTCTCGTGTGACCAGCCGCCGGTGAGGCGCCGGGGGGTGAGTCACGCGAGACGCATCGGCGCGGAGCGATCTCAAAGTGCGCTGTGACTCGTCGACTACCGTTTTCAGCGGCAGCGGTGGTGGCGGAAAGTGAGCGCGCCCTGTTCGCCGATCGACCCGGCTCGAGTCGGCCGCCAGTGCCATGCGGTGCCGAGCTTACCTGAGCGATCATGTTCGCAATGGAGAGTGTTCGTTGGGACTGATGGCTGTCAGTGAGACGCGTGCTTATATAGTGCCGAGTCAAGCGACCAGCGTGCTCTACAGAAACGCCCCCGTTGTCTTGTTTCCGAAAGGGCCAGTTTCCAGTCAGCCCGGATGCCATTCCTGAGGAATGCCGCCATTCGTACACCCTTCTCTGCGTCCCTCCCAATCGAAGCTTAAGTGAGGTACACACAAGAAAAGGGTGCCACTTCACTGGCGGCCTTGGCTGACTGGGGCCACGTAGGCAGGGGCAGATTTGAATTGTACCCTCTGAAATCGGAGCCCTTTCCACGGCTTCTCTTTTCTCAGGTTGAGTGCTCGTTTTAGTTTTCCCATCGATAAGAAATATCAGAAAGTAAAGGTGGCCCTGTCACAAGCACCCGCGTGGTTTTCATTCAGATTCGGTGCCCCCGTAAAGTTATAGTTGCCTTCATGATTACAGAACACATCGCTCTGGGCGTTGCGCCATTGTCCGTGACAGCAACAATATTATATAAGAAGCGGCAACGGTAACTCTCTGCTCACGGTGAAGAACGAATTTCAAGGGAACGAAAGTGATTGTCCATGTGGATGACAATGAGAGGTGCGAGAGCGTTCAAACACTGCGCGCACTCTGTCCCAATGTCAACCACACTTTGTCTTCGCTCAGACACCGTGCACGTCTCCTAGGTGGAGCCGTTCGTGCTTTCTGTACCTGCAGGCGATGGGCACCATGGTGACATGCACTTGTAAATTATGATACAGAGAGAACAGAGATAAGAATGCAGATTCAATAACGACACATAAGGTGAAAGGATTAACACATCAGGTGAAATTACACGAAGACAGTCTGTAGTAACATACTAATTGACGCTTTCAAGTCATTGAAATGTAAAGTGTTTTTGTTTGTAATAAATTCCACTCGACAAGGTTCGCGTAGCTTGAGCTTCCCTAGATAGTTCGAGCATCATTGTGAGGAAACTTTGCGCCGCAACGTGACCTATACTGATAGCAAAACATTGGACTCAATTTAGAAAAGATTACACTGTGTGAGCTTCTAATTGACGCTCGCTGTTGATATAATACATGAATGCACCATTGTGCTATCTGTAGGCAACTGCTAGTCCCCTTGACATTCTCGTGTTTCTTTTCTAAAGGGATGATCTCGATGTGAACTTGTATTTATACGAATACATAAACAAGCGCTTGTGTGAACTCATGTGTGACTGGAGAGGATACTTTACCCCCCGGACTGTGCTTAAGGTATTGATGCCCCTATAGGCGTTTTCTCTGTGCGCTTGCATTGGTACGTATGCAGCATTTTTAAATATTCACGCGTTGACGTTCTCGCTGCCTATATATTTTCTCGTTTTCTTATAGTATAACAAATGGGTGATTTTCGAAAATACGGCTATGACAGAAACTAGACTCCCATGTTCATTTGGGTAACCTTTGTTATTTTTTTTTGTTGCAGAACTTATGGATATGGAGTAGCCGAAGTAATATGGACCTTAACCTTTCCACAGCAAAACATTTAAAACATAACAGAATCTAATAAATTAAAAAATAAGTAAATGAAGAGGAACAATTAAAAAGTATTACATACCACATGCGCAGTTCTTTCATCAATTTGTTTTCTTAAATTATTGAACAAACTTCCATGCTCATTTGAGAAATAGCTTGTTCAGTCCCATTTCAAACTATGAATACTAAGTCACTTGAAGTGGAGTTATTTCAGCTGAATGCTGCAGGATCGATTATTTATGATATTCCTACACTCGGAGGAGCTGCAAACGCGCCAAAATCTCATCAGATACAAAAGCAATACAAATTGTTTTTGAGATTTCGATTTGCTGCACGGGGTTGTACATTTTCTCTTCATAACGTCCAATTTGGGCCCTGAGAGAATAAATAAATAAATGAATAAATAAATAACCAAATAAATAAATAAGCCCCCTAGACACTAATGAACAGAGAGGGGGACGTGTACAGTGGTTCAGTCTTCTGCACAATGTTCTATCAGCCCTGGAAGATGTAAAAACGTACTCGTACACTCAAAAACTCCAACAACGTTGTGGAAAAAGAACGTGTTCTGCGCGTTCCATTGTGAACGCCTCCCACAATGTCTAGCCGTTTTTCGTATAGCTATCTCCCTGCATGGTCGTTTCTTTTATTTCCGCCCTACGGCAATCACTGCACCAGACGGGTTAATATGCTTTAAACGCCCAGTCGGCTGCTGACCTCCTTATGAGCAGCAGTAGATCACTGATTGGGATTTTGTATGTATGGCAATGAAACACGGTTAATGGAGCGAGATTTTTCTCGGCAAAGTTGCGCTTGTGCACGCATGGATGCGTAGGATAGACCACTGTGAGTTTGTCCGTTGCGACTTTATTTTCCCTCTATGCCACACGAGGGACAAAACTTGGGAGAAATAAAAACTGCGTTAAGTCCTAACGTTATAATTTTCGAGAAGTATAAAAAGAACTTTCATCTTCGACACAGCGGAAAAGTTATTATGCCAATTTGCCTGCTGAAGATGTGCAATAGTAAATGTATTAATTTTTTTTTCTGCGTCCTCTGGTCAAAGGGTAAGGGGCAACACATTTTCGATATCTCGTTTTCGTTTGGTTGGTTTCACACTTTCTAAGTTTTATGAGCTCATTTCGGGCAGCGTTGACCATGGTGCACTGCAGAGGCAGTTTGCTGTTGAATATGATAGGAAAAGTTACTACATATGCCTATGTGGCACGTTCGCTGGAAGTTTGGTGCCCACATTCACAAGGAGGCTGGAGATATATTTGCAGAATCTGCGGAATCTACTAAAGTTTCTGACTTAAACTAAAATTTCGTAGTCTTTGAAAATTTAGAGTCAAAGCGGCTGAAGTCATTTGCCGAGAATACATGAGTTGAATTGCGCATAATTTAGAAGAAAAGAGCTTCATTGTTGAAAAATAGAAGAAAAAAATAGAGGGTGTCGTAGCGCAAGTAATAAACTATGATCAGTGATCATCAACTCATCATCATCGATTAAAAAGCAATCATCATTGATCAGAAAGGCACATCTATCTATCCGAGTTTCCGAGACTTCGCTCGGAATTGTGGCAGCCCGACAGAAACAACAGAAGCAGCAGCTGCAACAAGCCGCGGGGCTTCCAATGCTGTATCAATAAACGTTTTCGCCAGCACTTAACAGTTTCAGAAGCGTTCCGGTATGCCAGGCAACGCAAGAGCACACCGAGCTGGTATAAAAGCCTGGATGTGAAGATGTAGACCCACCGAAGGTTCTTAAACGTGCCCATAGATATAAGCACACAATATTCTAGCATTTTGCCTCCATCAAAACGCGGCCGTGAGTGGATCCCGCGACTTTAGAGCCAGAAGTCAAGCACCATAAGCACTAGAGAACCGTTGCATGTACTGTATCGCGAAGAAATGCCCCTTGTGTTACACACATGCATGCAAGCGGTTAACCACCTTTATGTATGTTCTTGCGTACGTTTCTATGTGTACGTCTGCATATACGCATGCACAATTGAAACATTGAAAAGGGCAAGTGGAGTGGTTAAATACCCCCCCCCCCCCTTTTTTTCCCCTTGTGCCTGCTACACCAGTGCTTAAGAAGATGCATGTTAAGCTGTGTGGTATCATTTCGGGTGCCGACTAGTACTCTGCTAATCCCTGCTTTTATAGGAAGAGTGCGGAGCAGCATGCCACGTACAACGATGTGCATCGTGAGTGCGAATGCAGTCGCCTGACTTTTTTTGTGTGTGTGAGACCATTTTAACTTTTTGATACATTTATTATCTTTTCTCGAAGATGTACCGTAAGAAGTCAAACATACTGCAGAGACAGACAGATTGGGTGTAAGTTTCATACAATAATACCTAGAGCAGAATCTGGCGCTGCGGTCGTGTACCCCCCCCCCCCCCCCCCCCCCCCCCCAGAAAATACGGGAAGTAGAGGCTTCAGATTGGATTGCGTTAGCTAATGAGCTATCTACGAATCCCTTTTTACAGTTTAAGTTTCGTTTTTCCACAGCGTGGGTAGTGGGGTGTGGTGCAAAGCACTGAAGCAGCGCCTTTGCTGTTAAAAGAGGCTGAAGACCACTAGGTATGAGATTGAATGCCGATAACGTGATCATAATTATGGATTCCCTGTCAGTATGTACGTCGATTACGGCGTCAACAAAATCGATGGCCTTAAAGACGCTCCTTATGCTAGTCCCTCCTCAGCTACAGCTACTGAAATTAATATGGGTACCTGGTCATTGCGGCTTAGAAGTAAATGAAATCGCCGACTCTCTAGCACGAGCAGCATTGGAAGGACCAGTACTATCAGTCCTTCCCGAAGTGGCCACTATAACTGCTACAATATACAGAAAACTTGCGCTTCGTGCAGACGCTATGAAAGCAATAATGTCCACACCAGAGTTTACTCACTTAAGATTTCCATGGAAAATTCATTGGTGTCCTACAAGACAGTTGGAAACCATAATAACCAGATTTCTATGTCGTGTCCCCCCGTTAAATTTCTATTCATATAGGGCTGATCTGGCGATATCACCACTATGCAACTTTTGTTCAGAATCGGAAACAATAGAGCACTATTTTTTATCATGTCGCCGACACGAATTGCTCAGGAAAACACTCTTAGTCCTCCCATTCGCTAGCCTGGGGCTGAACTTCACTATAGAAAATATACTTTCCTTCAGTGCTTGCGATCTGGGCTTCATGCACGAGAAAGTTTTCTATGCGGTTTGCAAGTACCTTGATGAAAGTAAAAGAATTAGGCTTTTAATTGCGTGATTATTATTCCTGCGAAAAAAAGTCCAACATACACAAGAGATCTCTTTAACCATGCTGATTCCTATTCAAGGTAATGAATAATTGTCGAATCTGAACGAGTGACAAACAACTATTGCACTCCTTTTGTTCTGCCTACGGTGTCTTTTCTTTTTTTCTTTCTTTTTTCCGGTGGGTGGTTTTGATATAGAATTAAAAAAAATCTTACTGAATTAAGT